GAAATCCTGAAACAAAGTTTCATGGTGTAAACCAGCACTTGCATATTTGAGTATGTTGGTGAAGTTTCTTTGGCTATATTCAGATTTTGAGAGGATCACCTGGTGATATTATTAGAGCTGTTGTATTGAAAGGAGGAGACAAGTCAGTTTAATTCGTTTTTTTCGGAAGTACGTATCTTATAGAAAACAGGTGTTTTACCAAAACTTTCAGACAGGAAGGACCAAGTTTTGAGATATGTTAAAGTTCTTTATGCTGCCAAAAGAGAATTTGCATTCTGTAACTCCGACTTAAAATTTTAATTTTGGATCCAGCACCTTTAGAGACACCATCTTCATTGCAAATATGTCTTGTGATAATCTGAATACCTGTTCCCTTTTAAAAATAAAAAGATAATAAATTAAGCAGTCTTGAGACATTTTGCAAAAGGCATTAGAAAAAGCTTTTTGGCCAACCCTAGTGATTATGATATTGTATTTGGTGTGGCCAAACGACCAAGATCACATTACATAAATGCCCGATACTTAGAAGAGGTTTTCTGTGCTTTTGCAGTTAGTTGTTTGGAATCTGGAATAACTTGGAGGTCAAAAGTATCTATCTGTGGACATTTTCTGAAGACTTCTTGTTTTGCATTTCAATTGATGAATAAAATGCTAAGCTCTGTTTCATTATCCTTCTTTCAATTTTTTTGTCCAGGTGATGAAGGTTCAGTAATTCTTCAGAAAGCTGAGGTAGAAATTATAGACCAAACGATATGTCGTTCCACATATGGGATTATCACAGCCAGGATGTTTTGTGCAGGACTAATGTCTGGGAAAAGAGATGGGTGCAAAGTATGTATCTTAGCGCATTTCACACAGAGTTTGTCTTGCCTTTCATAGTTGTGTGAAGAGGTGTAAGAACTAACTGGCAGACCACTTTGTGGTCCACACACTTCAGTTCTGAAAAAAAGCAATGTAAGAGTTCTCTATCAGCAGATCTGTCATCTGGGTGTTTTCAGAGTTTCGCTGCTTTATGTGCATGAGTAGCATCACTAAGTTTCAGTGCTAGTCAATTTGCATGTCCCAATAACAAGTTGAAGTCAGACAATTTTTGGCACAAGACTGTCTCAGTTGAAGGAAAATCTGAGAAACTAGCTAGCTTGTCCCTTTTCAGAATCCCTCCTTCCCAGCCCCTCCAGGGATATCTGATGAGAAGCAGGCTACTAGGCATAAATTTTCAAATGTATAATATTCTGATCTCAGTGCTGAAAGATAATAAACATGATGTTCTGAATTTACTTCTAGTGAATAGTAGTAAAATTATATATAGACACAATATATAGATATCTTTATAGATGACATTTTATATTATAGGTGTTGCATAATATGTACTATATTATATAGAACTTCTATAAACCATATATATTTACTACTAAAATAATAGTAAATTTACTGCTAAAATAGTAGTAAAACTATTTTTTTTTTTTTTTTATGATGTAGATCTGGAATCTTCAAGATGTTCTAGCTTTCACTGGTCTACATAAAAGTGAGAGAGACCAGAATGGCTCTCAGGGCAAGCAATGTCTGAAGGCTTTCTATGGGAGTATAATGCACCAGATGCTTTTTTAGAGATTAGCAAGACTATTAACATTAAGCATCATTTTCACTAACTGGAGAATTTGTTTCTGCAGTTATCTGTCTGGCCATTCAAGATATAGCCAAGGAAAGGCTTTACAGGTCTTTTGACTGCATTTCTGTAAGGGCAAGTGATGTGTGAATCTATCTGGCAGTTGTTAGAGCTGATTGAAATGTGGGGTTTCTGTTTTGTGAAAAATGCTGATGTTCCACTTCTCTCTTGTCCTAGGAATTAAAGAAACAAGTTGAAAATTTGTCTCTCTAAATGCAAAATCTTAATTGCCAAGGGTGGAAAAAATTATCTTCTTAGTTAAATCTTTTTAACAAATTTGTGAGACAATTCAAGATAATCCTGCTTTGAGCAGCAGGTGACTTTACTAGATCATCTCCTGACATCCCTTCCAACCTGAATATCCTAAGATCCTGTAAAGTTAAAGCAAAATATTTTGCTAGCTCTAACAAAATATATGTCTAGAAGGAAGGCACTTCTCTTGCAAAACATTGAAACAACTCACCTTCTGCTTTTGGAAGTCCTTCATTGCATCCCATGTTTTGGTGGTTTCATTTGCTACTCACTGTCTTTTTCAGAGAGGTTGTTTGTACAGCAGTCTCTTACAGGAAAGTATAAGCTTGTTCCAAGAAACTTTCCCCAAATGGTGACACTTTTTTTTTATTTCCCCTGAACCTCTGCCAATGTATTTCTACAAGACTACCCTATAAAGGAAGAGTTGGTTTGTCCAGTATTATGGAATTATGCCATCTAGTATAAAACTTCAAAGTCTATAACAGACTTCATTTTAACTGCCCTAATTACAAAGGCATAATGTGCCCCTAAACATTACATGCTGGCTTGTATCTATCTACTAGAAGGCAACACTTAGTTTTTTTTCCTTCTTGAAAAAAAAACCCAAAACCAACAAAACAACAAAAGAACAAAAACCCCCAACAAATCAATTGAGGGATCCAATCTCTTTCCATTTACTTTCAATTTGAAATGAGTTTTATCATTATTAAATATTGTAATTGTATCTTAATTTTGAATTCGTTTTTAAAAAATTACTAATTTTTGGAGTCATTAGGTGTGTAACCTATAAATGAACAGACATATTAACTAGCATATTTTGGGTGTAGCTCTAAGTTTGAGGCTAGGAAACAAAATGTGAATTTCACATCTAGTCCATGAAAAGCAATATCTTTATTAGTGTCTTTAAAGAGTGAGAGCTAGCCCTCTCCCCTGTGATAAAGCAAACTTTGGTACAACTGTGCAGTCCCATCTGCTTCAAGAAAAAACCCAAGTCTGTTGACTATCTGCTCGTTTGAACTATGTGAATGAGAAAATATAATCGCTGCTAGAATTACTGAGGCAAAATGTCTCCTGTGGTATTTTTGTCCCACTTTTGATAATCTTAATTGTAAACACATACCACTCTCTTCTTTTTAGGGTGATTCTGGTGGACCGTTGTCATGTCAAAGCAATGGAGATGGCAAATGGTTTTTGACTGGCATTGTTAGCTGGGGTTATGGATGTGGAAGACCAAATTTCCCAGGTGTCTACACAAGAGTATCAAATTTTGCACCATGGATTCACAAATACGTGCCTTCAGTCCTGTAACTTGAAAACCATTTTCCTGGAATAAAACATATCCTGGATATCTTAATTAAAAATCATATTTGGTAAAACTGTTCAGTGGTGGAATTTCTTTGTGTGTCTCCCTATTGATTCTGGAGTACACATGTGGAAGTAACAAGCACCCTTTGTTCAAACCTTGGTGGAAGAGAAAGACTGTTCCTTGTGGTGGCTGTTCTGTGCAGATGTCTGGAGACACAGGAGGAGCTGCAGTAATAAACTTCTGGCACTTTGTGGTTGTTTTCTAGGCGCCAGTTAAGTGCATGTGCAGTCGTCGATGGGGAAGCTGAAGATACAATCGACCACTTAGACCTTAAGTCTTAGTCATTTCCTCTGAGATGTGTATGGCCCAATACAGTAGTAACTACGAAGTAGCAACCAACTTGTTAGTACTCTTGCAAATACTACTTTTTCCCTAACTTGTCTACCAAGAACAGCTGATAGAGAGGGAGAGGGGGGATTGCAGACAGTGAACTCAATCCTCTCAAACCCATGGGGCCCTCATTTTTTGGAGATCAGAAGCCCTGCATTTAAGCATGGAAGGTTTCATTTTAATGAACTGGATGATTTGGAGCTACTAACTCTTTTATTTCCTGCCTTAATTTCCTCATATTCAAGTTAGTCCACCTGAGAATTTAAATTCTTTATCTTCAGGCAACCTGAACAAGATGAGTAAATATGGTGATTCATGTTGTTGCAATGATCTTGTCCTTGCCCAAATAAAACTGATACTTCTACCTCTGAGAGATACTTCTATGGAATTGAGTTCTCTGAATGTGCGTAATTTTTAAAAAGTCCTGATACAATTTTTAGAGAGGTTGCAAAAGAAGTTTTATTTCCTCTCGGCTTTTTCTGTGGGTTTCATTTCCATGAAGGAAGGGGCAAAGGTTGTGTGTGCAGCAGAGATAGGCTGTTGAAAAAAAGAGGACTTGAACAAAGCAGTCTGTCTGCAGTTGCAGTTTGCATTCCTGAGCTGCGAGGATTGCCTTCTGATTGATCCCTTTTGTAGTCTCTGTGTGATCTATGTTGGGGTTGGTTTGTTCCCTTTTTGTTTTATGGGTCTGAGGTTTCTTGGGCCTGTTCTGTTTTTCTAAGTTTTGTTCTTTGTGCTCACTCTCTTTCTCAACATGTATAAAACATATTATTTCCCCATACACATCCTTGCTTTTTCTTATTTTACAAGTAGAATGCCCTGACCCTGTTGTTTTGCTGACTTAAAGCTGTTTTTAATTTCAAACAGGAAACGTGCACACGAATTGCTTTGCAATTACCTTTATCCTGTGGTACAGGCTTGAGGCTGGAAAATTCAGGTGGTCTGTGGAATTGTGCATGTCTTCTCTCTCATAAATATTTCTGCAGATTCTGGCAGGTGTTCATCAGAAGTTGTCTCATTTACCTTTCTCTGGGACTTTTTATCTGTAAATTGCTTGCATGTCGTTTGCGTTGTGTCCTAAATTATTTCCTACTCTTGTATTTCTGGAAGAAGGGGGTAGCTGATCTGTTTTCAACTGATGGGATCCGTATCGTATGTAGCCAGTTAGGACAACAAAGAGTTACAGCGACGTTTAACTTTTCCTCCCCACCTTCTTTGCTTGCAGATCAGCTGGCTCCAGCTTCCAGCGGTATGGCAAAGGCGAAATGAGAGAAGCCTGGTGTGCTTGGCGGGGAGAGCCATGCGCTCCTCTGGGTGATGTTTAACAAAGTCCTAAATGAACCTCATTTCTTATTTGGGATGTTAAAAGGCATTTGTCAAGGCGTCATGACGCGGGCTTTCCCCTCCAGCCGGGTTTCTGTGTACAGCATCCCGGCTCCGTGCGGCTCTGAGCAGACTGCGGGGCAGGTAAGAGGCACCGGCTGAGCTTTACAGAAGAGGGTCTCTCTGCCCACTCTGGTGTACATCGACCTCCGCTCTTCATATGCTAATTGCTCCTAACCAAAGTGAGAGCCATTTTTTCCCTTCACCTGCGTAGATTGAAATGTATGTCGCAAGCACATGGGTTTGATATGTGACGTAGCTGATAACATGAAAGATATTATCTTAATTGAAACCTCTTTAAAAACTAAGAGGGCAAAAATGCTAAACTATGGTGTGACAGCTCTTGTGTCATCTAAGTGATGCCTTTCCATGTCTGTCTTTAGGAAAGTCTGCGTATCCGTTACTGTCCGTCCTACCTAGGAGGTTTATGTCAGAAGTACTGCTTCTTCAAAGGGATGAGGCTGTGTTTCTGGAGGAGATGGCCTCTAGGAATATTACCTGTAGTTTCTTTGACAGTTACAGTGATCGTGCTAGTCCTGCACTACTCATTCTGTAAGTGTTCCTCTCCCCAGCATGATCTGGATGGGATGGGTATTTTGCACTCTGTGAATGATTGGCACGAAAAGCTCGGCACAAAGCAGCTGAGCACGTAATGTGTGTAATAAGCTACTGACTTTCCCTTCTCCTTAACTTCTTTGTTAAGGCAACAAAAATCACAAAAATTAATGATTGGTAGTTGCACAAGAATAATGAAGGTATGTATTTTATCTCCAAATTTTTTCTCTGCTTGTGAGTACCATCGTTATTATAACTGTCATCTTTCCCAAGAACCTATAGGAATTAACTGTCTATCTTCTATTTGCTCTTTCAAAACAGAACAGTTACCTAACTTATGTATGCTCCTTCCCAGATCTCAACTTACAGCCATCAAAATCATATCTCTCCGACAGCACTGCAAAAAATGGAATTTTAACAATTAAATCTTCTTAATAGAAATGCCTGTCTGAACGTATACCTCATCCCTCTTCTTTCCTTCTGAGCATTAGTCTATCAATGGGACTGACTCAGCACTCTGGCTATTATGATGTGTTTCTCTTAAGAACTAATGACTACCAATGCCAAAGACAAACACAAGCCTCTTGTGCTGGAAGCTTTTCCCGTAATGTTACTAGGTGTGCTAATTTTTTTATCTTTTTTTTTTTCCTCAGCTCCAGCTTTCTCCTTTATTTATATTGGTGGAAGTGTAGAAATTCCTAATTTGACATATACGAACGACCTCAATGATCCAAAGTCGCAGAAATTCCTCCTGCAAGCAGAAGCAATCCAAAATTATGTAAGTTCCCACATAAGTATAGCAATAATTAAAAAATATTTATTACAGAATCACATTGGCAATGAGGAGAAGACTCCAGTTAGTCACCTTTTTTGTTTTGGTTTTTTTTTCCCTTTCAATATAGTAAGTTTAAAGCTAGCAAGTGCCTTGGTGGTGCACAGCTTTAGGGATGTAGTTAGGCAACTGGAGTTGTGTGTCTCGCAGTAAGGCCAACATTTCCTAGGTAATAAAACCTGGGGGGTTCAAGGTTATGGACAAATTCTTCTTCATAAAGGAATTAGGAGTGTGGTTTTTGTTTTGTTTTACTTAGAGACTCTTCCTTGCTACATTTTTCTCTTCGATTGTTGGTTTTTGGTTTGTTTTTTTGTAATTATAGCTCAAATTCAATGCTTAACTTTTTTGGTATTGTTTTGTTTTCCCTTATTCCCCAAAACAATGCTTGCTTTCTTGCACTTCTTATGTGAGTTCCTATTTGTGAGATCAGTACTGTTTCCTGGGTACATGTGAACAGCGGTCTTAAGCACAAAGCAGTTCTCTGTTAGACTGTATTTCCCAAAAGAGCTAATCTAGTGTCTCAAAGGTGCTTTGTGCACAGCCAATACAAGTTGCTTATGTCCAGATTATATGCTGGAAATTTAAAGACTGAAACAAAAATGTGAATTTTGTATTCATAAAGGCTTCTTTTTTCATGGCTAATTATCAAGAGGTATCTCAATGGTCCTGAAATATGATGTGACTTAAAAGTAATTTATTTTTTTTTTAGTGGAAATTAACACACATTTATGATCCTTATTTTTTATATTTTGTGAAAATGATGAATAATGCTTGTAATATGGGAGGGGGGTGAGGAAGGGGAAAGGAAATAATAAGACAAATACTTTATAGCATAAGACATGATATTGAGATGATAAGTGTTGATGTAACACTTTTTACATTTTCTTTTACTGTTTTTTAACTGTCAGTTTGCAGAATCCTATGAGTCTTCCTTCTTGGGAAAGTACTACCTGAAGTCTGTAGTGGCTGCTTTCAGGTAGGTTCTGTTCCAGCATGTGGTATAAATTTAGAGAGACATTCAATTGTGATTGTCTTTTTTTCATACATTTTAAATTAGTTATCCAGAAGAATATGCAGATCTCTACGACAGGGAATGAAAAATGCAGAAATGCATTTAAGTATGTGAGCTAAGAGCTAGGCTAATAGTGTGATTTCTGTCTTGCCTTGTAGAATTGGTGAGAGAAAAAAAAGTTTGATTAATTGTGCCTTGGTTTTATGGGTTGCTTTGTAGTCTATTCATCTACTTTTTATTTTTGAAATCACAGTTCAGCGGGGTTTTTTCTCTACCACTAGCAGAATCTTATTTTGCAGTTTTGTATTTAAATGAAGTTCCTTTTCAACTTCTCAAAACAAAACTTAAAGATATAATTTTGGGCAGGGCGCCTTACTTAAGCTCCTGGTGAGAAACATAAATACATTGAGCAGATGGCTACTAGTATCCTGACAGGATTTGAAAATTTCTAAAAGGTTGAACCATAGCTCATTCTGAAAGGAAAAGTGTGATGGACTGTCTTGTTGAATCACTTAAGTAATACTTTGTATATGCACGCATATAGATTATTTATTTTAACAAGAATTGTGTGAAATCTTGTATCAACGTATGGACATAAAATGATATTGTCATATGGTGTGACACTCAATTAAAAATATTAAGGAAAATGTGTCTAGAACACATTTGGTCTTAAAAGTGTCTAGACGCATAATATAGTCTTAAAAGTGTATAATTATGCAGCAGGGAGGGAAATATCCAATTCCGGAAAAATTATTGCAAGGATTTTCTGTGAGATGTAGTTTTCAGCCTCACTGTGTTACTGTGTAAGCAGCATGTTTTTGAACTATTTCTACTGTATAGCAAAAGTAATTGTTAAACAGGAGAGCTTTTTTTGCCACTGTGTTCAGCTGCAGCATTGTGCACAGCAGTTCAACTGGCTATGAAACTGCGTGAACAAAAAATGCAGACCAGTAGAAATCATGTCCAAAATACTAATTAGAGGGTATATACGATGCATTTTTTTCCCTCCACAGTGAAGGAGAGTCTGGACTTCGAGCCTACTACTGGAATACATTCTGGGCGCCACAAGATGTGGTTGCTTCTCTGAAAAATTTAACCCCAGTGGAACAAAAAGAAATCAGTAGTAAACAAGCAGCTCACATGTTGGGTTATTCTGGCGAGGAAGATTTTGATCTCGTTACAATGGAGCTTTTTGGTAACAATGTACCTGTCATTTAATACCTATTCTGTCTATTTTCTTTCTCCAGTTTGGGTCTTTGGCTTGTGTAGCTGATAGTTATTAAATTTCAGTTTCAGATTCTGCAGAATATGATGTGATGCTAAAATCAGGTAATTGTTCTTCAATGCTAGCTAATATCACTTCGGGGGAAAAAAAATCCTGTAACATAAAAATGACAGTTACCCAATTATTCTTCTATCTTTAGGGCCTACGAACTAAATCAGACTAGGGACTTCCCTGGCCTGTGCTTCAAATAAAGGCTGAGATGAAAATGCCTTACAGCTTTTATTCTGATGTTCTGTCTAGAATCGTTGAAATTTAATAGTTCCCACTGAATTGCAATGAGCTGTGGCTCGTTTTCTTGGCATCTTTTAAAAAGCTACTACATAAAATTATACATAATTTATTTGCCTTGTGACTAGATAATTTTGGTTATTTGTAGTTAGGGATCAGTCAAATACTGTAGAGCTTTAAATCACTTTTGCCTGGTTTCTCCATATCAAGCACACCTCAAGATTGGCTTCATATTCTTCGTGTTCTCTGTGTATGGAGGTGGTGAAGAGAAAACGGCAAAGGAAGCGTTAGGTTTCAAGCAGAGGTGGTAGCAGCTGCACCAAGTCCCCTCCTGCTTGCTGACTGCACGCTGAGCAGATGGTGGTGGGGCATTGTGCTTCCTTGGCCAGAGCAGGAGGAGAACGTGATGCAGCCTGGTAGGGAAAAGGGAATAGGGTTGTAAAAGTTAGGGGAGAGGAGATTAGAGTAGTTGAGAAGTGTGCGTAGGTGATTGTTGCTGCCTCTTCTGAAATTTTACCCAATAACTTAATTTATCTTTCAACTTAAAGGTTTTTCAGCCACTGATCTAGCTTCTTTTGTATAGCAGTATCCTTTGACCTGTATGCCAAGCCAGGTAACAACAGGACTCTAACTCTGATGAATCCCAAAAAGTCTTTTTATCAATGGAGGCTGCGAGTTCCTTCTAACCATGTGGTGAGGCTGGTAGTTATCGCTTTGCATGGTGTCACTCCAGAGAGCTGTGCATCGCACCACTTGTCAGCATATGACTTCCTTCTTCCTCTGCAGAACAAGATCATTACAAGGTATGATAGTACAGAACAAAGATGTCTTATTGAGCTGTACAGAAACTCTCTGAAACTGTCGTGATGTCAAAATGATATCAAACAGATTTCCAAAATGTAAAAATCCAAATACAACTTAATTAAAAATCTTATATAAGGCTATAAAAAGATCTTTCATATTATTTCCTCCTCCTTCCCCCACAATGAATTATAAATTCCTGTGGGTTTTTTTCTACGTTATGACTAATGTTTATTGGTTTTGATTTTGTGCAGTTACTGTCACAACTCAAAATGATACAGACGTTAATCTATTTATTTATTTATTTATTTTTAGAATATTGTATTCTATTACTTTTGGAATACACATGTTTCATAGCAGTCCAGTCACAGGCAAATCCCTGTTCATAACAGGGATGTTGTGCCTATGGAAGGCTCCATCCCCAGAGTCACTGTGTAGTCCGTCTGCATAAATGAAATCAATGATCTTGTAACTTTCAGTGGCCACAGTGCTCCCACTTTCCAGAGTCGAATTTCATGTATGGACATGTTATCCACCATTAACCTGTCTGAAACGCGTTTATTTAGTAGTGCTTTAAGTTACTCGAACTGAGTACCTAAATGAATCTCTATTAACAGACTTCTCTCTTTCCTCCTGCAACACGTGAGGAGAGCTTGTCGCTGCTGGTGGCCTGTCAGAAAGCCAGGCACGGAGTGGGCACAAGGGTTTTGTAAGGAGTTAGACACAGACTGTAGCATAACGTGGAGAAACCCGTTCCTGATGCTGGACTGCCTCTTCTCTGCTGCTGATTATGGGTTATTGCCAGGACTGTTACTCCATTGCGCGTTATTAGCAACGGCTCAGCTTTTTAGGAACTAGAAATGTAGAGTCGGCCACATGCATGAAAGAACCAGGAAGCTAGCAAAACCAACACAGGTGTAAGAAGTAACGTGTTCAGAGAACATTGATGCAGTAAGCTGTAAGACAGAAAGTTCAAGAATGTGCACTGATGCCTGGCTGTCGAAGAACTGGAACGGAATTTGGTGACTGAAATGATGTTAAAAGCAGTATGGTACCTCCAGAAAAGTTGACTTTTTTGGTTACTTTTATTGCCAGCCAAACAAATGTGTGGGTTTTGCACATGTCTATCAATTTTCTACTTAAGCTAAAAGCAGGTAGTCACATACTTAGGATAGATGCAGTAAAACTAATAATACTGTCTCTGATATTTGTGACAGCCAGGAACTATTGTATTATAGCCGTTATTCCCTGATGTCCAGGTCTAGGATCACACATAGTGACAAAATGATTCTCACCGGTTTCTGTAAACTGCAGTAATACAGCTGTTCAGTGACAAATATTAACGAGTCAGTATGCTGAGATTGTAAGGTGTACTGTAAAAGTAGGTGTCTCATGGGCAACTCGTCTCATATGTGCTTGCCTTGCTTTGATGATGATACTGTGACAAAAGGTACAGCTAGAAGATAAGCCAAACCATCAATTGGGTAGAAGACCAGGATGCTGAAACATTTCCACGTGGCAGTGGGGAGGGGTCTCAAATTGTTCATTTTATAAAAGATTTGACAAGTGTTATGATAAAAAGGATTTAATCATGTCTGCAAAAGACAAGCAAACCGCAGATCTATGGTGCAGTGTCTCGCATGAAATGGGAGGAGGGAATAGCCTGCTAAAAGCAGAAGAGGACTACTTTCAGATTAAGGTTCAAAAATTTGATTTTAATGCTTTCACTCTGGATCTCAGTGACAAGTTGAAGAACTTGATGCAGAGGTGTGATAGAAATACTGTCTTGCTGTGAGATCTGATCTTAATTATTCTTATTTGCTGCGTATAGGAAAAGAGAAAGCTTGCTTACTTTTCAAAATGCATTTCAAAATGGAATAAATATAAGAGTGAATTTGCAGATGCAAGAAATAGTATCTCAAATTACAAGTGATAGTATTTCAAGCTTCGAGATATAAATTAACTCCTCATTATTTAAACAAAAGAACAACGAAAAGAAATAGTTGCCATGCATGGGGCTCGACAGCTTTTGTGACATGTGAAACCAAGCTGAACGTTAATAGATTGGAAATGCTTTGGGCTCATTTTCTCTCGCAGAGATGCTGCACAACACTGCTGCACTGGCACTTGTTGCCTTTTCAGTGCTACCCACTGAGGCTAGCACCGCCTTTTTGATGCTTCTACACGTCTGAAAACTCCAGGGCACCTGTTAGGCAAGAATATCTGTGATGTTCACCTTGAGTGGCTTTGCCTCAATGCTGGGAAACTCTAGCATCTTGTGTAGTATCAACTGAGTGGAAGAGTAAAAGGGAAGTGGTAGCGAAGGGATTATTTCTGAAACACAGATGACCAGATCGGTGTTATTTTTGCCCAGTTTCTCAATAAAGATGACTGGAATGTGGAAAATTTCATTTTTATTTATTTATTTTTTTAATGCAATCTTTTTAATATTTCAGATGGTGTGGACCTGTGGCCTGGACTCCTGTTGTACGTTTAACTTCATCGAGTAATGTAATGTTGCTTACCTTCTCACTGGACCGAAGAGAAGAAAGCAACGTATTAAAAGCTCACTTTCAAGCTGTTCCTAAAATCAGTAAGTAATTAAACAACCATCTGAAGTAAGCACACTTATTTCTCTTGCTCCCTCTAGAAAAGTTAATATTGCCTGAACGTATCTGGGGGTAGGGAATGTCGGCATATAAATCCAGGGAATTGTCATTCTGGTCCACACTTAAAAAAATGTCTGAGAACTGCATAAAGAATAGAGAATATCCTTTGGTCTAGGAGATTTTTTTTGTCTCCTGATTCCTGCCCAAGTCATCTTTCTCAGAGATTACTCTTACTACACAGGTAACACTTATTCAAGAGCAATGGTAGCCGAGCAGCCAGCTGGATAGCTCTACTGGCAGAGCAGCACTTTTATCAGTTTTGGCAATCTATGCCCAGCTCGGAGAATGCATGTTTAATGAAAATGGAAAACAAGAGCAAACACTTCTAATATGTCTTTGATCCTTTTCTGAAAGCACTGTTCAGTGTAGTTAACTGTATAAGAAAAGTGTGTTCAAGACCTAAGATGTATATTTCAAACCTATGGAGTACTATGAATTTTGCAAGAATTCTGGGTGATTAGTGAAATATTTTGAATAACGACAAACTGTAGCATTTTACAGGAGACATAGGGGCTTCACAAGTGAAAGTTTAGCCACAGTTATTTGGTAAAGGTCTAAGTGAAAGAATTTTGACAATTAAGCACGTGACTATTTTTTAACTTGTGGAACAAATCATAGGGGATAGCATGTGGATAAAGCTTACATATTTCAGCTTATGTCCTTCTGGATGCTGTTTAAGCAAATACTCATCCCATGCCTGTTACAAATTAGAACTGCTTCATTGTTCTGAAGATGGGCACTCCAAATTATGTATAGCCTAGATTTTGCTACAAAATTTTTTCTGTTTTCAAAATTGTCTTAATTTCTGATATATTCATATTTGCATTCACTGTGTTACCTAAAGGAAATGAAAAGCACTAAGGGCTGGGTATCTAGGACAGTTCTTGGTAGAAAATAAAACCTCAAAGATATTGTTCAAATGTGGTGTGAATTTTCAGACTGAGAGCTGACACAGAAACTTCCTGGTTTACATTAAATTAATCAGAAGTTTCATTTCAGTGGGCTGATTGCTTTTTAATTTTTGAAAATGTCTACAGAAAGGTCTGAAGTAAATTGGAAGGGGGAGGTCTGTTGTGTCTGCATTTAATTGCTTTTTCCACTTACCATCAAATAACATTTTTTTAAAAAGTCCACTCAGAGGTGTTTTGTGCTTATCCTCAATTGTAATTTGATCCAAAAATAAGAGAAATTCAGAGTGATGGGGAAGTGGAATTACATGATTTTCTGTTAATACGGGCAAAATCTGAGTTTAATACTGTCACCACCCATCCTTCTAGCTCTGTACGTAGAGAAGGGTCCTAGCAAGTGGAGTAGGTGCTGCACTTCAGCCCAGCTGAGATAACTGTCTTCCTTGCTGATATATTTCTCTCCCAGTGTGTGGTGGTCATCATATTTCCTGGAACGGGACACTGAGTTCCCCTTATTACCCAAGTTACTACCCACCAAACATTGACTGCAGCTGGATCATCAGAGTAAGTGCTGGGAAGTCTTCTGGGTAGTGATGACTTTGCTTTATGTGATATAAATATAAAATTGGGAGAAATGGCTTTCGATGTGGGTGAAATGAAGGGAAAACATACTAAGAGCACTGCACCTGACTTCTTCTCAGGCACCCATTTCTTTCCTGATCTACGTAAAAGTGTCGGCTCTGAGAAGGAAACATTGCCAGCTTCCAAAAGGTTAAGTATTATTCATGACAGAAAAAAGCAGTGGGTAAGATGACAATTCCTAGCAGCCAGAGCAAATTGCTAATAATCAGGGCTTTGCTTCTATGTCAGAAAGAAAAAATGGTCATGTAAATCGTGCCTCATGTGATGGCTACCACACTGTATTTCCCTGAACTCTACAGAAATAGGACCTTCTCTGGCTTAGAAATTCAGCTCTGGATTTCCAGCAAGTCCTTTGGCAGAACTTAGAATCTGCTCATGATTTTCACCAACTTCCTGGTGCGTTTAGCTATTGCTCCATTAAGCATTTCACTACTTTTTTGACTTTCCCTGGAAAAGGACGTTCTTCATGTCTGTGAGTTGGTAACAAGCTCTACCCTTCACCTGCTCAATGAAAATTATTAGCAGCTTGTAGCACAAAACTCTCATCTCTATGCAAGAAAGGGAATCAAAAGGCTTTCTAAAACAGTGAGGTCATAGCTAATGCAGTCGAGTGACCAGCTACCATAGATGTCTTAAATTAACATAAACTACGGGCACATGTGGCAGTACAAACATAGCGTGAACCTCAGATATGGTGCTTTCTGCTGGCTGCAGGAAGGCTTACACTCCTTTATCTGACACAGTATGGCAAAAGCTGGGCCTAAAAAGTTTTCTATGCATGTCTAAAAACAGCAGATTTTTTGGTTCTTCAAAGGTGCTGATTTGCCTCATAAGTGCAGTATTTTCAATCTGATAATAAGTACAACAAGATTTACCATCTTAGAAGCACAGGCCTTTTCATTTTGTGGATATGTGTGTCAGGATATTTATCCTTTTATTTTTAGGCACCATTGCCTGGCTACAAGCTGTCATTAAAAATCCTCGTAATACAAATTCAGGAGAAGTCTCCAGGGTCCAGTAAATGTGATAAAGACTGGTTAGAAATTGATGGGGTTAGGTGAGTAAATGCACTATTTTCTGACATATTAATTTGCACTTTGATGTTCTGCATAACATACTGTATCTATACCTTCTTGCCACTTCCAGTGCAGAAAAATACATTTCAACAAGAATTGGCATGCTTCCACTGAATTTCAGCAGAACAACCTTCTTAATCCTGCCCTAGTACTGAACACTTGTCATGATGTTAATTTAAGCATCCTGCTTTTTCTACAGTGTTAGGCATTTACTTCCTTTGTTGTTCCCCTTAAGAGCAATGATAGAGAAAACTGCAGGATTTTCTGCAGCTGCAGTTGAACTGTAAATTCCTGGCAATGGTCTTGACATGGGTGAAGAGCTTGCGTCATCTGAAGTTTCATTTTCTATACCACTTACTCTTCAGTGATTATAATTGTTTTCTGTAAACAAGAAAAATTGCACTAAGACAAATTGCGATGTGTGTGCTTAAAACGACAAAACAAAACTGTATTCAGAGTGATTTGTCTCTTGGGAGGAGCACATTGAAACCATCAACAGCTGTTGGATTTGTAGCCTTTTGCTTTTGCAAACCCAAATGGGAAATCCAAAATCAAGCATGCTTAGAAGTGGTTTGTATTTAGAGGTAGATTCTGACATTGATCATCTTGCTGTATTGTGTTTCAAAGTCTGCTGGTCCCAGCAAAGTTGTGGAGTGGACGGCTCTTGTAAATAGGCTTTCTAATATTTCTGTTGGGCTGTTTTAACACTAAAAAATTAGCTGATCTTTATTGTGTTCTTTTAAAGGTTTTTGGCATTGGTACCCTTCAGTAAAAAGGGAGGTAGCGGGATAGTAGTGGTCAGTTTGGTTAGAAATTAATTATTCTCACTTTTGCCTTGCCAGATACTGCAAAGCTCTCTCAGAAAACAACAGAATCGGAGAATATGGCTATTCTGTCGCAATCAACTTCCATTCTGATGAACTGGTCACCCACAGAGGGTTTTATATCAAATACAAAGCCTTCAGTCACGCAGACCGTAAGTGAATAAGCACGTACTTTAATTTGCAAGGAGAAACCTCTGAGAAACCATGCTTGACAGACCAAGCGCATACAATCGACTCGCCTTTTTTTCTTAAACCAATTGCAAGAGGCAAATGTTTAAAATGTTATTATGTATTTAATTGAACAAATAGATGTACAAAATTAGATAAAAATGCTTTTAGAAGCTAGTTCTTACTTTCTAACTTCTAACAACACTTCTGTAAAGCGGGAAGTAAAATTTCCCAGTTTCTGTAGATCTAATTATTTGGCATTTTGCTAATGTCTTAAAATAGCCAAGCTGCAACATGAAAATAGCGTGGCAGAGAACCTCCAGGCATGACTCTTCTGCCAACAGGAGTTAACCATTAATAGTTAGTCTTCTCTTTAAAAAGCACAACTCAAAGTGCTCTGGATCAGCTTCCAGGTTTAGACAACCTATTTAAGTTTTCAGTAAGAGTCAATGAAGACCCCTTGCTAGCAGGTGTTCTGGAAATATGACTGGGTTTCTTATAGCCCTTTCTTGACTCCCCAGGCACTTCTGGGGAGTGTTAGTGTTAGATTTTTGGGGGGCTTCCAGAGGGTGGAACAGGGATTTTCAGGAGATACACGTATTTACTTGTGATATTTCTTAGGAAAGGTACATCTGCAACATATTTTTGTAAATGCTTTCTCTTTCCTTTATCCAATTAACGTTTAGGTAGCTGAAGTTCTCTGTGATTTCAAGAGATCCGTTCAGTTTGTGGAAACCTCTTCAGATGCTCAGCTTGCTTGACTGAGCGTCGTTCTGTTCGCTGCTGACTTAGAAGTAGTTATGTATTAAGATCTCTGGTATAGGTTCTTGCTTCATGCCTTTCATTAGAAATAAGCGGCAGATTTTGTGGTCAGTCGTTCTATAGGACTCAGATATTTTCAGGGATTTTTTTTTTTCTCTCCATAAATGTGTGTGTCTTTCTACTGGAAAAAGTTAGTGTCCTATGGTTACTGCCTCAAAAACAGTTCAGAGATGAGTCAAAGCCTAAGAATACCTTTTTCTACAGCGAAAATCCCCAGTCTTTATTGCATGTGCAAGTCTTTGTGCGCTCTGCTCCATTTCTAGCACTGAGCCAGCAAGCAGATGGCTCAGTCACGTAATCACTCCTTAGTCACAATTTTAAGGATCCGTATTAAGACTCACCAGGAGGGCTAGATCAGCTGTGAGGTGTCTGTATCAAGTCGATACAGTAAAGGCATTTCTGGAGGGCTACCTGAGACAGCAGAATGTATTGAGAGCACTGATCTTCCACGACAGCCTTGCCTGTAGCAATAGCAAGGGGAGGGAATTAATTTTCTCCCACATCTTTAGCACCTGCAGCCACCCACCTCAGATTAGCTTCTTCCCACTGCTGGGAGCATACCAAAGCACGGCTGTTAAAAATCAGAGGCACTGCTCCGTGTTGACCTGGAAGGCTGAATAACTTCAGGGGATGGTGAAGAGAAGGCAGAGAGACTCCCGCTTTGAGCTGGTGCTGGCTGCGGAGCGGCTCCTTTCCTCCCACCCGTGTCACATGCGAGGCAGTGAAGAGGGCTAAATGACTCCAGATTGGAACTGATTAAATAAATGTGGGACAAATGTGTTTGGTCCTTCAGTCTGATTTAGCTGTTAATTTGCCTGTGGTGCTACAGGGGAAAAAGTTTCAAGTTGACTTGACCTGGGCAGGAAGAGGAGTTTTTTGGCTACTGATTCTTCCACAGATCAGCTTTTCTTTTTTTCTTTTTTCTTTTTTTTTTCCTCTTCCCCTGACACATCTGAAAAAGTGGAAGAGAACAAACATTTTTGATACATTTCAAAGAAACACCTTAGCTTTGATACTAGCTGTTAATTTAAGTGAAACAAATTCTTGGTGAAAGGTTGTTTCATAATGAAATTGCTAGATTTGAAAAGTGTTTGATAAAGCATGTATTCACATCAGACATGAAGTTGGAGTGCAGTAGCACAGAGATGAATTTCTACAACATTTTAATGTCAGGGAATTTGTATTTCTAATACTAAGGAGAATGCCTAGTTTTGACTTCCATTGTGGTTTGTGTTTGTTTGTTTGTTTGTTTTTCTCCCCTCTCCTTAAGTGCTCCTGTGTAAAATACGTTACCTTAACAAACTGAAGAGGTGTTCATTATTGGTACTAATGACATATCTGTGCTAATCACTTTCAACCCTTAGAGTGAGGCAGTGAATGTGAATTTCATTTTTAAGTCAATTTAGGTGAATATTAATTAATTCAGACTGCTTGATAAAAATCTTTAGCAGATTGTGTGAAGTAAGATAGAATTTCCTCTTTTAAAATTCAATTTAGTTCATAAATGACACTAGCTTTGGTTTTTAATAGCCATTTTAATATTTTTTTCATGGTATGGTCCTGTGTTTTGCATTTAGACTGTAACAGCATTTCTAGTGCCATTAATATCTAATTTTTGTAGCTTGTCCTTAGATGTGCACATAGAACATGCATTCCTTCAAGCAATCAGTCTGAAGGCTGGAAAGGCTGCTCAGATGGTAGTGATGAATTAAATTGTGGTAGGGCAATTACTTCTTGTTTGTGTTCTCCTGTAAACAGTTTGTTCCAGGAAGTTTAGAGACTGGCTGAAATTATTTCTAAACGATTGATAATTATCTTTAAAATCACATGAAGGATGTGGGTGAAGTTCTAAAAGTCTGGGGAAGTGGGAGAACAGAAAAAAATGAGAAGGGAATTTTACACCAATCTTTACAAATTAAACTTCCCCCCCCCCCAAAAAAAAAAAAATAAAATTAAGCAATAAGTAGTCAAAGTAAACTATTTGTAAAGAGTGAAAAAGGTATTAAAAATTGGCATGGAGTTTTTTTACTTTGTTTTTGTTCTCTGCTGTGAGAGGATAAATAGAGAAGTTGTACTTTGGTATTGTCTTGTGTAACCAACTTATCAGTAAGTAAAGGAAACACGGTTAGAAAAAAATATAGAAAACTGTTTCCAGAGAATGATTGCCAATGACCCATTACCAAAATGGAAGGATATTTTTATTGTCATTCTGCCAGTATCTGTTATGGGATATCAGCATAATTTTTGTTGGTGATCCACAGGATGGATTAGAGAAGATGTTTATGAAATAGCAAAAGTGCCACACAATAGAAAGAGAGATGTATCTAAGAGGGATGTATTTATAAATCATCCTGACAAGCTGGAGAATGCATATGGAGAAAATGATATCCCATTCAATAAAGACAAGATCGGAACTTGAGTAATCAAATACACATGCGAGTTGCCTAAGTAGCTTTTCTGCTGAAAGATGGTTGGGAGGGTGATAGTGGCTCAAAAGCTGACTTGAGAGTCACAAAGTCATAAGATTTTCCATGTGTATTTTGTGTTAGTTTGGTGTTTTGTTGATTTTTTTTTTTTTTTAAAGTGTCACACTAGGATGTAAGACAGGAGTTTGAAACAATCTTCCCAGTCACCAGTGGGAAGGCTTCAGCTAGAGTACTGTATCCACACTGGGCACTGCACGTCAAAGAAAGCAGGGAACAATGAAGAGACGCCAGAAAGAGTGACCAGAAAGTAACCCAAAGTCAGAGAGTGCAGCACAAGTTAGGTAACGCAACAAGTCTCTCTGCCACTGGAGGCTGTCGAAACCAAGGTAGACTAATGTCTGGCACAGTAACATCAAGGTGGCCTCTGGTAGGGAGTGTAGCACATGGCTGCTGGCCAGTTATTTGTATTATAAAACATTTATGGACCTTTTTTCTTCAGGTTGTAATTCAGAAGAGTTGAACTGTGGTGATGAGAAGTGTAAGCATCAGTATAAGACTTGTAAAGATGATGACAGCTGTGGGGAGGACAGCGATGAAAACAACTGCTGTAAGTATATATTGTTAGCTATTTTCCAAAAGACGGTGGATGGTAGAAGCAAGAATATACCTATTTTAATGGATAAATGTAGTATTTCTACATATTTTTTGATAGCACAAAGTACGAGTGTCATAATAGTGAAAATAAAATATGCAGAGTATAACTAGTTCTTGGGAGAGTCTAAACAAGAAATTAATGAAGCAATATCCAAGATAAAAGTGCTTTTAGTTAGATGACTTAACCGCAGCTTGCTGATGATCCTGTTAGAAGACCACTTTCCCCCCAACTGCTGCCAGATCAGTAACAGACAACGTAAGGGAGAGAGCCACAATAGGTTTGGGATTTTTGCCCCTTGCCACATGCATGGTCCCTTTACTGTAGATCCAGCATGGTTACGGACATTGCTGGTACTGCTCACGTCTCCCTAGTGACTTGCTGCATTTTGCCTTTATAATTTTTGCCTTGCTTTGAATCTTAGGTCCCTGAGGTAGCCAGGAGTATGTCCTTGTTTGTTGAAAAACAAATCCCTCCCACTGTTTAGAGGTCACTGTAAACAGCTGATAATAAGAATGATAGTCATGGAAGCCTACTGCTGCGATCTGTCAGGATTCCCACGTGGTTATCTGTGATAGTCCTTAGGAAAAAAATTATTGGAGGGGAGGTATAAACCTCTTCCACAATTTTCTAAATCTTCACTTAAAAACAAAAAAGTTGACTTCCAGATGATATCAGCCATGAAGATTTATAATTTGTAATGCCAGTGGTGCTGGTGAAGGTAAAACAGCAGATCTGAGAAGCCTAGCTTGCTCTGGTTAGATTTAAGTAAAATGGGAGTGAGGACAGTTGGAGGCTCTTCTGTCTTTTTCCTCATGCACAGTGGAGACTGAAATTAGTGAGATCATTAATCACAGTAGAACGTTCCCTCTGTCCCCTCTCCATAGAAAGACCAGTTTACACCAGTACAGGCTACAACTTCAAGCAGACTGCGATGTGTAGCTTTGAACAACTTTCACTGAGGAGGCTGAACGTCCAAGGTTTTTTTTTAACGATTTGAAACCATGGCTCCAAACATGTGACATTATCTTCTCTCTCTTATTTCAGCCTACAAAAGTTGTTCCCCTTATGCGTACAAATGCCTCAATGGAAAATGCTTACTGAAACCAAATCCTGAGTGTGATGGGAAAAGAGACTGTGCAGACGGATCTGATGAAATGAACTGTGGTGTGGTAACATTTATTTAAAAATTAGTTACTGACTTGGTTTCCCAACTCAGGAATTTGTGCTATGGCCAAGCATTATTGGATTAGGAATTGATTAAATCAGATGTGAATTTTAAAAAAACGTATCTCCTGGTAAGATCTGTATGAAACTATCTGTCTCGAATTTTCCACTGTTTCATTTTAAATCCACGGATCCATTCTGTCTGTAGTGACTTATCTCAAGCAATGCACGCTTCCAGGATAAGCTGGTAGGTCCTACTGCTTGTTTGAGCTGAATGAAATGCAGTCAAGGAGCTGTGTATGTAAGGAGGGGAAAAGATATGAGACTTTATTCAAGCAAACTTTTGGAAACAACTCACCTTAGAATTGTGCTTAAATGTCTTTTTTGACTTACTAACCTCTTTAGAAAGCTGTAAAGGAGGATAGGCAATGATAGGTTTATTCCTCACCTGCCCAGTAAGTGAAAATGGGCAAGTACTCTTACCATTTTATGAACTGCACAGTAAAAAAATACCTTTTTTTCCAACAACTTTGAGGTCTATGGATAAAAGTTTAAGTATTAAGCATAGCAAAGTGAAATGACCTTATGTCTTTTTGTTACTATTTTATTCAATTATTTCTATTAGCTTGTGGAAGACACCAACTTAAGAAAAACAGAATTGTTGGAGGTGAAGATGCAAGATCTGGAAAGTGGCCTTGGCAAGCAAGTTTACAGATGGGAGCACATGGCCATGTATGTGGTGCATCTGTTATTTCCAACAGGTGGCTCATATCTGCTGCCCACTGCTTCCTGGATTCTGATTCTGTGAGGTATGTAGAAGTTATACTCTCACAGAGCATTTGCAGTTTAATAACCTTACGGTGTTGCTTTCAAAAGTCTGCAGTAGCTGTTCCTTGTCTGGAGAAGTTGATTCAGGGTATAACTCTGTGACATGAACCCTCAATATTGTATTCTGCTGGCTTCAAAAGGTCTAAGTATCTGAAGTAATTATTTTGTCTCCGTCGCCAGCATATCCTGCATGATAAAACACACTGTTTTGTGAGATTTAGGTTAAACACCATTTTTTTAGAAGGCAGGGATTTTCGAAGTAAAAGCTATGGCCTTTTCTCCCACAAAAAGGACTATTTATTGCTAAGTGGAGTGTAAAACTCACCAGTGTTCAGTTTAGGTAGTGTAAATTGAAAAGACATACCTCTTAGATGTGGCAAGGAGGAAATAGAGTTTAATAATACACTTTTCTGACTTCCAAAGCACGGTGCATTGCAAGGACTCGGTCTTATAGCTCCAGGAAATTATTATTTTCAAAATGGTAAGTAAAACCATTACTTAACGTTTTAGGACACAGAGAGTATAGTTTATCTGTCTTTCTAAGTGGTATTGTACCCCATTCACTTTGGTTTTGATGAATCTCATCAAATACCGAAAAGTAGATAGAATGGAGTGAACTGACGCTGCCTTACTTTCCAATAGGATGTTCTAAAAACATTCTCTTTACAGATACTCCGTTCCTTCGGGCTGGAGAGCATATATGGGCTTACATACTATTAGTGAAAAGAGCAATCGTGTAGCTATGAGATCAATCAAAAGGATTATTGTCCACCCACGGTATGACCAATCTATCTCAGACTATGACATTGCCCTGCTGGAAATGGAGACGCCTGTATTCTTCAGTGAGCTGGTACAGCCCATTTGTTTACCCAGCACCTCTAGAGTATTTGTTTATGGAACTGTCTGCTATGTAACTGGCTGGGGAGCCATAAAAGAAAATAGTATGTTCGTTTCCTGGATATACTTCTTGCAAGTTTGGCTTAATTTGAAACTCCTAACAATAACGTATTTATAGTCATAAGAGAAAATACCTGCGGTTTACTTAGTAGGTCTGTAAAAAGCTAGAAAATGCCCCCTTGGCTACAGGCTGTGAATTCTGAATGTTTGCTTGGATGGCAGGTGGTAAGTGCCAATATGCGTACTTGGGTGTCACAGACCATTGAAAAGCAAATGAGTATAGATTTACAAAAGTGTGCTCCTTTTCATGCTCATGGCTCATTTTACCTGGTGAGCAGGTCAGAAGCAATCTGACAGGTAAAGAAAACAGCGACTTGCAACTGTTGCAGAGAAAGAATTTGTCTCTAAGACTGTTTGACACTATGGGGCCGTGTACAGCAATAATTGCAAAAATATCGTGGAGGGTTTTTTGTTTTGTCTGCCTTAACCAAAGGCAATTTAATGTATGCCTCGTGAAGCGTTCTGCCTGTGCAGTTTGGATGCTGCAGCAGATGCACCTTGCATGCTGCAGTGGGGTGGCAGGAAAAGAGCAAACAGAGTTGGAGGGGGCCGGTGGGGGACCCCGTGGGATCTTGGCCCTGAGCCGGGTTTGAAACCTGGGCTTAGACAGCTCCTCAGCATTGCAGTGGTCCCCGCAATTGCCTAGTTCCTCATGTCTGAGCAGACGCCATATGCTATGGTAATTTTGGCTTTCTTAATATGCCTTTTTAAAAAAAGATTTAAATCTAGATAATAACATAATTGGCTAATGAAGTGCAAATGGCTTTGCAATTGATGTCTTCTTACAATGTCTTGCTTTTTAACAAAATGATGCAGGTAATATTTAAAAGTCAATATAATGGCATGTGAAAAAAACCTCATATTTTTCTATCTTACCTGTTTCATTCCCACCCCCACCTCAGAGCTGAATGAGCAAATAAACCAATACCCATCACTTCCTCTGATCATCCAGGTACTGAAAAGGTTATGTTCACTGCTGGGCCAAAACATGACTGAAGATATTTAGCTCGCAATGATACCTTATGCCAATACTATACTACAGAATTAAGCTCTTAGCATCACTTGTGACTTAAGGGCTTGATTTTTTTTTTTTTTAATTATTTTTTTTCCCCTCTCAGCTTTATTCCTCAGCTCCTTCCCTGGAAGTGAAAAGATGGAAAAGAATGTAGAAATTTCATTTAGTAGGACTTGGACAATGTTTGGAGTAGAACCATAGTGTAAATAACAACAAAAAGCTTTGGGCATAATTTGAAATGGAATTCAAAATAAGTCACACTGTATGGTATCTTGTATTATAATTTGCATGACTTTTTTTACTACTTTCTGGCAGAACAAGCTCATAAGGACAAAGACAAAGTAAATGGAAAGGTGGTGCATAGGGACCTCTATGTCTAGAGGGTAGTATAGGCAATAGCTTTTAAAAGCTGAGGGCAGGCAGCAGTTGAAGGGAGGGGAGTTACTCTCCTGTCATCACTTGAGTAGATTTTGAGTTTGGAGCAATTATCTTTTGTTTTACAAGTGGTATCTATTACAAATCTGTACCACCATAACCTCTGCAATGCCATTTGTATTTTTCCTAGGTCATCTTGCCAAAACATTGCAGGAAGCTCGAGTGAGAATAATTAACCAAAGTGTTTGCAACAAGTTGTACGGCGATCTTATCACAGCACGTATGCTGTGTGCTGGGAATCTTAGTGGTGGCATTGATGCATGTCAGGTAATGCGGAAATTGTAGAAAAACTACAAAGGAATATTTGTTTCCATTGCAAAACTGTTCAGAGCTGTGCGCTGTTTGTTTTTTTTTTGTTTTGTTTTTTTCTTCTTTTTTTCTTAGTAATAGAGAGGTATCGAGTGTATAGTTAATTTAACATGACAGAAAAAGGCTGTCCAAAATAAGGAAGGAAATTTGGCATAGATAATCTCTGAATCTCTTGAGAAATGTTGCTTTGCAAGGACAAAGGGGTAAAATGTGCCAAAAAGAATTCTTTTTCCTCTTCAACAGCCCCATTTCCTATAAAAGACCAGAGATGTAAGGATAAAGGAAGTTGGGGCTATCTGTGAGTTTTGCCATTCATGCTGATTTTTTTTTTTCCTTTTTTGGTGTCTGGGTGTGGGATTAATAAGCTACTGTAACAGTATGATGAGTAATGTATTGTTACAGTTACAAAGAAGTACAAAAGACAAAGGTAAGCTAGGTTTGGTAAATGCAGTTGCAATGCTGCCTCTTAGTTTCATATGCTCATTCATGTGAAGAATTACAAGTTTTGATTACATCATGGTATCATAAGTTGTACAACCTACTTCATTTACACACACAATCAGAAACTGCTCTTTGGGCACACTTCAACTGTCTTGACTCTGCCTTCTCAGTTGTTAGACTAGTTGTGTACTTTATCAGTATTTAAACGTATGATGAATATCAAAATTACAAACATGGCCATTACACCAGTTACTGTGTAAAGGGAGAGAAATGTCTTACTGATTTTTAGACTGTGGTAATCTGATAAAATAATGACATTTATATATTACAAAAATATTCTAATGTATAGGATAATTAATTTTCTTAATGGGTCAAAGTTCTTTATACACAATAGACTATTTGCAGTTTCTTCCTGCATTCTCTAAGTTCTAATTCCAGTAATTATTATTTTTGTTAACTTCACGGGCAGTTTGCGTGTTACCTTGGACCTTGGAACTGTTTTGCAAAACATGTTGTTTTAGAGGCTTGATGTTCTTCCAAAAAAACTCTGTTGCTTAAGAAATGCCCTTGAATTTTCAGATGGACGTTTTAACTGTTTCGGCTATATACCATACTGGTCAATCTGGTTTCCAATGTAGTATGCTGTGTTTGAGTCCTAGCATGCTGGCTCTTTGGGTCTTTAAGTTCTTAGTCTGGGTAGCATCTTTGCTACTTCTTCCTTTTCTGTCACTAGTACATTTCCTCTGCAGTGCTAGAGAGGAAGGATGTTGGCAGTTCGGGTCCACAGCACCTGAAACCCTTTTATGACGGTTCCAGACTTGTGCGAATCCTGGTTTGTTTCATTTCTTCAAGGACACGTGAACTGTGCATGTACTGCACAGATTATGTGAAGCTTCCAAGCACCTTTCATCTTTAGACAATGTGATACTTAGAGAAATGAAGCATTTACTCTTTCGGACTCTGTTTTCTTACTACTCTAGGACGTTCTTTGGTCTTGGTTCCTCTTTTTAGGATCCTTCCTCTCTCCACCGGCATACGACCCCTTCGGTCTTTCAGAACTGGCCGTGTAATTGGCCAGGCTATACAGCCTCCTTTCTCAAGTCACTTTGAGATCGGCCTCTGGGATTATCAAAATTGCCAGTACGACAGCATCCTGAGAGAGAGAGAGGAAGAACTGTTCTGGCTCCTTTTCTTATCACTAGATAATTTTGTTTGGTTGGATGATGAAGGCTTTCTATTGTTACCCTTTTCTCGGTACGTGGCTTCCTTCTGACCTCCTCCATGTTTTAGCCTCAGCTGGGGGCAGCAAATAAACCCCAGGGTCAGCCTGGAGGCTCCCGACTGCCTCGTATGCATAAGGAGCAGCTGCAGAGATGAGCTCCATTCAGAACTGCTCAGAGTTCTGTGAACGGGACCGTTCACAGAAGGCATACAAGGTTAAAAAAAAAGAAAGACGCAAAGCATTTGAGAGCCCAAATGCATTTTGATCCTGTGAACTGAACTAAATGGGAGTTTTTACTTTTCTAAGTTGCTTACAGACCTGCACGTTCCCTTTCAGAAGCCGGTTCTTATTTGCACATTCCTTAGTCTTTGTTCCTTCTTTTTCCTCTATGAATGTAGACACAGTCTTGATTATGAAACTGCTGAAAATACATAATTGTGCCTAGTTTGTTTTTTGTTTTGGCATTTGGGGGTTTTTTTGGTTGCGAGTGAATGATATTTTTCTCTTCCTATTTAATATACAATATAAGAGTTCTGCCTTCAACCTGTGAAGAATTTAAGGTCAAATGGTAGCAGAATTCCCACTTTCCATCCCTGTGATCAGTTGCTTTATGAATCCTGTAATGGGACATTAGCAACGAGTAATTTTTTCAACTACTTCTTGCCATTGCTTTTTATTGATAAGTGTGCTACTTCCATAAGTTAAAAAAAAACCTGAATAAATTTGACCTCTAGCTGGGTACATTCTATCCAGAAATAAGATTCTAATATTAAATTGTAATTTGAGAAAGAGAGGGGCAGGTATTTATTGTCCTTAAATAACCTAACTTTTGTTACAGCGCTCTGTGGGCATGTGTGCATTTGTGTGTACTAATGGCTGAACTGCCTTCATTTTAGGGAGATTCTGGAGGTCCCTTGGCCTGCACAGGGAAGGGAAATAGATGGTACCTTGCTGGCATTGTGAGCTGGGGTGAAGGATGTGCTCGGCGCAATCGTCCTGGTGTATACGCTAAGGTGACGGCGCTTTATGACTGGATTCATCAGAATACAAACTGATGTGCCGAGGAGAAAATGCAGATCATCTCTGTTATGAAAGCTGCTTCCTACAGTATTCTATCATTTGTTGTTCAGCTAGCAGTAACTGTTCAGGTTCAGAGCAACTTCAGATTCCTTACGGATTCCTCTTCCTTATGCCCAGCAGCAGAAACAGCACTGCCTTAACAATAAAATAAAATGGTGGATTAGAACCTGTAACAAAAATCCAGACAAATCTTTCTTTTGCAAACCTTCTCCTCTCCTTCCATCTCCCTTCCTATCTATGTATCTATGTATGTTTCCACTTAAACATACCTGGATATTCATGGCCACATCCCATGTGATCCCTTCCCGGGCTGTGCTCACATGGCCACACTACATTCAAAGGGACATAAAAGGAAAAGCGATTTATGTGGTTGGATGCGTCCTTGGACTCAAAGAAAGTAGAAGACGAAACGCCAGCCACACTCCTTTAACTCTAGCAGTAAATGTAGCTTTGATAATTATAATCTCCTGATGAGCTGACCACCCCAAATCTAGCTGATTTAAGGTTTCCAAAGCTGTTCGTGGGACTTAAGAATGCTGGTATTCACTTTAAAAAAAGACCTGTCTAGATGGTCTTAAAACTGTGCTCAGTATTTGGAAGGGTTTAGCTTTCACCTTTAATGTAATAAAAAAAAAATAAAATTGAAGCTGGCAATTTGAATACCAGTCATTGCTGTCCCCACAGCACACTTTTATTCTACCATATATAAATGTGATCCTTGTTTAGTTTTAGACCCACCTTGGCAGCATGTGGAGAAAACACTGGAATGAGCTAGCACTGTAATCTGCATGCCATGAGATTCCTGTATCTAACACGGATAGTGTTTTTCCTTCCTTTCTTGGGTATCTCCCCCCCCCAGCCCCGATGCTGTGTCAAACTTACTACATAAGCTATACTCAAAGCCTATATTTTAGGGGGGGTTAGTATCTTTAATGGCTAGTCACTCATTCACATCTTCCTTTTTAATAAACTTGTGGTAAAAATGCAAGTGGCTACGTTTTATTTGTTTGATTGTGCCTCAAACTCTAATCCCCAGGTGCAATCAGAACTACGTTTGTACCTCGGAGTTTCCTCTTTTTGTAAAGCTGAGCCTAACTTGCCCGTTTAACTAAAGTAGGCATTTAAGGGCACTAGTTTCTCTTCCTTATATTGAAACCAGAGATGTCTTCACTATGCAAGAAAACAGTTTTCCTGCTGTTCTGTTTTAGATAAAAGCCTAGGCCAGAAAGTTCAGATCATTTCTCTACTTCCCGTTGTCTTCAAGAGTTTCTTGGCTTCGTGAGTCAGAAGGGTCAGTTAGTTCACATGCAAGAAAGGCACCAACTGCAGACCTTAGATCACTCAAACGAAAGAAACTCAATGCTTTGTAAGGAGCTCCTTCACAGATGTAAATAAAAAAGGACTTTGGCTTTTGCAGGGTGAGATCCATAATCATTAACTTGTTTGACTTGGCAGAACTGTTTTGGTTTCAGGCAATTCAGTAGGAAGGTAAGGTCTGTTACTGTGAGTGGAAATGAAATAAATGAAGCTCATCTCCAGCAGGAGTACTGAGAACCAGCAGGTAAAGGCTTTTCTCGTAAAGATGTCCCAGGTAAAATCTTGTGGATACAGACACGCATTTTGATGACTGCTCAGCTTGATCCTCAGTCCTCCGCAGTTTTAAGGATTCTCCAGAACCAAAAGGTGGGATATGCAATTTGTATTTCTTTTTATTTGCTCAGTGAAACCAAGATGTGTGCTCAGCTTCTTGGAGTGCTTTTGCCTGGATGGTTGTGACATGACATCAGGAATCTGAACCCCGGGGACTGCTCCAGGCATCAGCAGCCAGATGAGTTGCACAAAAAGAAAAAAGGAGGGGGAAGCATCCTCAGCTTTTGGCAGGAAAAAGAAGCAGCAGTGCTGTGAGTGGATACTCAGCCAGCAGAGGAGGGAGTTGGAGAAAGAGGCTTTGTCTCCCTCCTAATGCGTGATCCTCTCTGTGCTGGGACAAGCGAGTGACCAGAGTGCAGTTACCGGCTGCCAGCCCAACCCTTTTAATCCAGAGGGGAGAGAGGTGCTCTGTGGGGAGGAAGGAGAAACATGAGGATGGAGTCAGAATAGGAGAACTGAGAGAAGGTAGGGTGAAGGGTACTGGGGAGGTGGGGGGAGGAAGGCTGCAGTAAGTTGTTACGAGTGACTCCGAGTCGCACGGGAGAGTTCATGTGGGAAGCTAGAGCAGATCAGACCACATGTCAACTTATACAATGATTTGCGTTGTGTAAAAGCATGCCCTGTAGAGCATCGGCTGAAATTGAAGGCCATCTTCCTCAAACAGATTTGTCTTTCTGGTTTTTTTTACATGGAAGCAGCTTCTCAGGTTTAGGTTGCATAGTATGTGAATAGACCTCTAAGTGGTTCTTTAACACCAAACATGGTTTTTAAGCTGCGTAACAGCTGGAGAGAGGACAATTCACAGCACAGAGATCAGTGGTGTTCATTTCTTTATTGACTGTACAGGGAGACTAAAACTCAAAGAGCTGATGTAGGTTATAAGTTCCCTTCACAGCCTAACCAAACCACAAGCTATGTGGTCCTTTACTCAGTTTGTGCTCTTTAGAACCACATCTCTTTGATTAGCTGTATTGATAACAGCAATAGTGTTTTACTGTTTCAGCTGATAGCAGCAGGGAAAGCGATCTGGTTCCTTTCAAAATTGCCTCAGCAAATGACAACATTGCTGAAGGTTTAGTCACTTGCTTGTCAAGGGCTGGTACAGTAGACAAACTGGAAAACCTAGTATTGCGCAGCTGAGGGCTGCAGTTCTGGCGACCTTGATACTTCCCTGCCTCCTGTTTCTCTGTAGCTAGTGGAGATGACGTTATTTGTGCTTCCAAGGAATTCCCCTTATTTATCAGTGTTTTGAGATCAGTCCTGTGAAAACCATCCTAACTCTCCCTTTTATTGCCTCCAGCCTCACACTAGAGCTGCTACTGACCATAACTGCAGCCGAAACCAGAAGGAAATGAGTTGGCTCCGTGCTTGCTTCAGAGACAGAGGTCCTCATGCAGAGACAGAAGCTATGAAAAGGCAAAGCTCTGGTCAGGACCACGAGATTATCGAATTACAAGAAGATAATGTGGAGGAAAGTGAGGCTAATCATGACAAGCCTCTAAATGCTCAAACAAGAAAGGTAGGAATTTCACTTGCTCATCTGATGCCCGCTGTTGGGGAAAATACCACGCAGCGAGAGAAATTAACTTTGCTGGAACATCATGTAGGAGTGGTTTAATTTGTTGTTTGAGGGATAGGGAAAGGTTATTCAACTTGAAAGAAAAAGCTGAAAAACTGTTAAACATATTTCTTTTCTTCTTCTCAATGAAGTATTCTAATATTGGAGTGGGGTTTTAAGCTTTTTTTTATTTTTTGTGCTTCGTTGTTTGTTAACTTTAACTCGGGAAATGAAGTTGTAATTGGTACTCTGTGTTTTGCTTTCTCTTTTCATGTGCTGTCAGTGGGATTGGGCTCAAAGCCAGAAAGGAGAAAAGTTGAAACCCATATTAAAACCAGGCTTTCTTTCAGAACAAATTAATCAGAAAACAGCGCTGCCAAAACAAGAATAGGATGTCCTGAAACAGATTATGCTGGATTCTCTCTCTTTTTATCTTTGAGCAAATTGCAGTTGGTAACAATTACGAATTTGTATGAACAGTGCGCCCCAAAGCCTCAGTTCAGACCAGCACGTGAGTCCTGAGGAAGGTCGCTCCCAGCGTTTAGCTTAAAGCTATGGAACAGACTAACGCTGGCAGAGGAGTAATATGTACTCGCAGGTGACTGTCGTACAACACTTTTCATTACTTAAGAGCAAAGGGAATATCTACGGCAGAGCTGAGGTGTTTCCCACTTTTCTGTAAGGAGGGTCGAGCCCTCCCGAGAGCTCGGCTGTATTATTAGCTGTCGTCACCCCACTCCTCCCTTCCTGCTCCTGGCTGAGCAACAGGGACTGCTTCTTCCTGCTTATCGTATCTGAGGGATGATTCATTCACTGGCTAGGGAAAAAAAAAATAATTACTTGACTATATCAGGGGCCAGTTACTTCTCCTCCAGCCTGGTAAGCTGAATCAGCTTGTTGCAGGGTCAGGCAAATTCTAGGGAGGTGCAAAGAGGAACAGGAGATGGTGGATGAGAGGCAGGGGTGAGCTAGATCCGCTTGGCTATCTTGAGAAACGTTACCCTTAAGTTTCTGTTTAGCCTTCCTTTTCCCAGAATTGAGTTTTCATCTGGGGTCTGTTTCTGCTGATTCTGGCAATTGGCTTCCTATCCTACAGGGACTGCTGGAAAATTATCGTGCCCTGCTTCATGCTCATGTGGCAGGTTAATCAGGAGAACTGCCCTGCCCAATGGGGAGAGATTTTGTCTGCTGCTGCTGCTCCCCCCAGCAGTCCTGTGATCTGTGTGGGCAATGTCCAGAGGCGTTGGCCCAGCTGGTAGGGAATAGTCGGGGAGCTGAATGTTTGCTTGAGGTCCAGCCGGTTTGCTGTGCGAGATTAAGAATTACACTTTTGTGACGGTATGAATATGTGGCTCAATCGAAACTTGGGCCTGATAGCTCTCTTAATGGATATTACTATGTTTGATTTCACAGTTGTACTCTAGGTAGTAGTTACTGGCTTTTTTTTTTCTTTTTTTTCAGATACAAAACAATATGCTAGTGTCAAGTATTAAATTGAAGCTTCATTCTTCTAAAACATTTTAAAAATCAAATAAAATCTATGTATGTAAGCATGATCACACCTGAAAGCATGCTGTAAGTGAAAACACATTCAGGTTTTGCCCAAAGTTCTGCGTGCAGGGGTGCCTGCAGAGAGCACTTTCCCTTTTTCCACCCCTACTCCTGGAGAAATGATTCTTGTAAGATCTCTCTGTGGCTGTCTGTTTTCTCTCCCTGTTCATTTGCCACCTCCAAAGAAGCCTTAGGCCAGCTGGTGGATGTCAGTTAAATTCAGTGAACGGCTTTCTATTACGCTGGGCTCTTAGAAAGTTCAAAGAGTAAAGGGAAAGTAACACGGGTTAGTGCCTCCAGCTAGCAGCTGGTTCCTGCCAACCAGCACGTGTGTGGCCCAGACAAACCACAGCGTGTGCTTTTCCTCGCCTGGTACTGATGGCAAAAAGGACATGGAGTTTACAGCTGGGTTTATGGTGGATGGGGAGGAGGAGGAGCAAATGCAAAGGCATCATGGTCTACTGTCTTAGGAATTCACGCCCTTCCTTCGGTCTTTTGCCTGTGGAATAAAATAGTTGGAAGGTTTTTTAACTTGTCTTGCTATGTCACCTAAGCTTTTTTTTTTAATATTAGTAATGCTGGGGTAACTAATAAAATACTAACTTCTGCCATGGTCTTAAATCTTATTAAAAATTAAATGAAAGGCAGGTATTATCCTTGCACACATGCACAATTTCTTTGGAGAGAGTTTCCTCGTGATCTCCTAGAACAGGTGAGATTTGTAATAAACTTTGTTAAATGTTCTCAATAGCCTTCAAATTTCGAATCTTCTGAAGAAAAAGGGAGTCAGCTGTAAAAGTCTCAATTATTTTACAGTGTTCTTTAATGCAATAGTATCTAATGAATAACAGTCCACTTGCTTTGAGTGCTGGCATCCAGGAGCTATGCAGACTGACATCATGAGCGTAGCAGAGGGATGGATGATTTAGGAAATTCCTTCCCAGACACCTTTTTGGTTGGGAGAGATGGCAAACATTAAAAGGACAGCTTGTGGAACATACAAGTCAAATAAGGACAGCTTGTGGAACATGCAAGTCAAATCTATGTAGTTTAAAAAAAAAAGTTGGAAGCCATGAAAGCACTTTTGTAGCACATTAGCTTTATGGGCAATTCAGGAATTGGAAATTCTGCACAAATTGGGAATGATACGGCTCTTTCAAGTAATAGCCTGCCTGTGAATGTCCTTTGCCTTCTGCAGGTCTGTGTTCCCACTTGCAGCAGTACTTAAGGGTGGGAACCCCTGGTGTAGGGTATTGCTTACCAACGAGACTCTCCCATCTATGTGGGGTTTTTTGTTTCTAAATGTTACAGTAGATACGTGCTTAATTTTTCTTTTTCCTGCCTTATTTCATTAACCAACATGCCCCTTTCTTTTGTAACTAGGAAAGAGATTACTGGAAATCATGTGGGAATGTAGTTTTCTGGAAGTGTAAACTATGGATGGTTATAACTGCAATTTTTCTAGTACTCTTCCTGGTCATTCTCATCAGCCTAATTCTTTATTCTAGTAAGTATCTCACTCTCGGTTTGTCCTCTAATGAAAGTGTACAATATGTACAATCTAATCTAACACAAATTGACCAGTAGCATCTTTTAAACTCCTGTAAACTGCTGAAGGGACCAGGACACTGACTGCAGAGGGTGGTGTGTTGAGTAGTGGATGTGAACACTTTTATTTTAGCAGGCAGCAAGCAACTCGTATCTTGATCAGATGGCAATTCCAGTTTGCATCTAAGCGAGAAAATGTTACAAGAAGAGAGTTGGAGATGAGGATGGAAATGATGCTTGTACCATTGCAACAAGTGTAATGGATGACTTACATCCCCTTGTGTGGTGTCAGTGCCTGTCAGGCTCCCAAAGCAGCTGACTTTTGCTAATGAGGGTCAGTGATTGATTTCCATGTGCTGTCACTTTTCTTCGGGTGACTTGCACTTTTTTTTCCTGTCCCTCCCAGTCAGTCATTACCTAGGTGATGAGAAAGCCACCCCAGAGAAAGCCAAGAGGTTGTGTGGTTTGGTGGTTTTTGTTGTTGTGTGTCGTTCCCCGCACCATACTTTTGCTAACTGGAAATTTTCCCTCCCCTTTCTATCTCCTTTTGAATATTAGATGTTTACACAGATGAGGATGACTATTGGGATCCTGATGCACTGCTAAATAGTGGAAATTGTCGCAATTTTTCAGGAACATTGGAGTTAATGTGTGGTCTCCCACACCTTTTCTCTGAAGACATTACTAAGAGGGTATGTGTTGATGTTTTTCTTGGCAAAACTGATTCTACTTGTAATATAAATTCAGTTTCTGAATAAGTTTCTGTTTCTCTATGTAGCATAAAATAAGTTTCTGTTTCTCTATGTAGCAATGTGGTCATTTGCAAGTCCATAAAAAATTCTGAGTTGTACTTTTACTAGTATAATGTTAAGTGCTGATCTAGAAAAAAAGAATTGTCTGCTTTTAAGCACACAAGAAGTTTACATTGATTTAAAAAAAAAAAAAAAGCACCTGAATTTTTTCCCCAAATTTGAGCAATGGTTGGGACACCTTTTTCATAGAATCATTGAACAATTTAGGTTAGGAGGGGTCTGTGAAGGTCATCTAAACCAAATGCTGGCTAAAAATCCTGAGAGTTGCACTCTCCTGTGAGTACACAATGACAGCCTGGGTTTATAGCTGCCATTTCCATCGAGCCATCGCAGCTCATTCAGGGCTGAAATAAGGCCAGCAGGAACAGCAGTGCTGATTTAGACTCCCTGTGGAAAGGGCGTCTCAGCAGAGAGACCCTTCCTTCTACCAAGTAGGGGTAGAAGAGCTTTTTGGTACTAATAAAAACCCAAGCCAAACATCAGCAACATGAGCACATACTTTTAGTTCACCCTGAATGCCTCCATTGTGTTAAGGTAATCTGTGCGTTTGAGTGATTACTATATTAACTTGTCTGTCAAGCTTAAAGGGATTGTGTGAACCTTTTCCAGGGCAGATATTTGCTGATATTTGACCTTCAGCAGCTGTGTTTGTGCCCCTTAAAACACCTTGTAGGAATGATTTGCTGTACTTTCTTTTATGGGGAAAAGAGAGAGTGAATGGAAGAAATATTTCTTTCTTTTTCTTTTTTCTCTCCAAGTTAACAGATGTCTACAGTTCATCTCCAGCTCTAGGACGCTACTTTAGGTCAGCTCAGGTGGTTTATTTCAGGTAAGCAATTTCTGTCACCAAAATTATCTGAAAATTCCAGACTTTTGATGAGACATACATGTGCCTATGTAAATATACACAACATTTAAATCTGAAAAATAGGTTGTTTGGGAGAAAGTTATATGTATAGGTAGTGAAAACCGGTTGAATCATCCTCTGATGTAAATAGCAAGTGCTGCTGGTAATATATAATGACTAATATTTTGTTGCTGTTAAGTATCATCTCTGTGATACATAAGTGCAGCCCTTATAAACATATTTAAGAATATTTATTAATAGGAAAATGAACTGCTGGAACCACTTGAGATTGACATGGTTTAAATAGCCTTAAATAAATAAAACAGGGTTGATGGGGAGGGGAGAACTGTTTTGTTCCCAAAAGAGCTAAAGGCAACAGGGGCATACAAGTTGTGAGAGCCAAGTCAGTAATATTGCATTGCTGGTTTGTTTGTACCGCTTTTGCCCCTCGCTTTATTTTGGACAACAGGAGAGGAAAAAAAGCAGCAGCATGTTGGAGAGACTGGTGGAACAGGAATGAGAGGGAGAGCAGGTGGCAGAGTGAAGGCTAGGCTAGCCTGGGTGGGAGACGCTTACGTGTGAAGGAGAAGCTCGGCCACCGAAGGCTGGTGGACCCAGAGGGGTAGCAGTGGTGGGAGGAAGGGGAAAAGCATCCAGGCCTGCCTTCTTCAGGCTGGAACACAGGGAGGATCTTACTCTAGGCAGAAACTGGCACTGGAGGAAGGCTAAGAGATTTATTGTGTTTGAGACTGAAGTTTTAATTTATGGAGATACCGTAGATTTACAACGGGAGGCAGGCTAAGCAGCAGAGGGAAAAGTGGGGCTGGAAAGATCAGCTGCGTGTGGTCCTGCCATGGGAAGATAGCAGAGAGGCAAGGGAAGGCAGCCAGAGAGCTTCCCCAAGGACTTCTGAAAAAGCACTGTTACAAAAGGGATTAGAAAGACAGGAGAAAATAAAGGGAAGTAGATTTGCAAAGTCCCAAGGCCCTTGAGAGAGCAAGGACAGAGGAAGAGTCCCCTTGGGCTTGCGGCAAGGGGCAGTCCTGAGGGCACTTTGGGGAACGTGCTCCCCTGCACCGCCAGCCTTGGGCACGCCAGCTCTGTTCAATAAGGGAGCTGTAGCTCCTTAACCTTACGAGTAAAAATTATCATTTAGACCATCAAGCACAAAGCTGTAGTTCTGCATACATATTGACTAGCTGATGTCTCTCTCTGCCTCTTCATATATGTGTGTGGCTCTGTGTCTTTGTCTCTCTCTGTGTCTCCTTTTCTTTTCTCCCATCCAACTACTTTTTTGATGTTTTAAATTCTGTGAGTACAAAATGTAACTGTCAAATTGTAGTTAGTGGATTTGGTAGACCACAAACAATGAAATCTCCAGAGACGGACTGCAGTTTGGTGGTTTGCATAATTCTCTGCAGAGCTGAGTTAGGAGCACAGCTGGGTGGCCCCAGGTACTGCTAGCAGGAGAGCAAATCTTTCTGCAGGTTCTCAGCTAACCTATGCATGAGATATCGCAGCATGTCTTATTGTTAGGTACTTGTGAAGTACAAGTGCCGAAAATCTCACCCCATTAGGACATGTGTCCAATTGCCCTTTATGCATTTGAAAAAATCTCGGGTTGATTTCAGGTATGTGCCTAGTTTCTGTTAATGTCAAGAGCTGCTCTGAGAAGGGAGGGGGAGGGAGGAAACTGCAACTTTTGATGGCAGTTTTATTTTATAATGCTTTTCTTTAGAACAACTTTAAAAAAAATCCATGCCAACTTTGATATGAAAAGTCAGTCTTCTCAAAAAAGAAAAGATCCAGTGGGGACTTGAATTCACACTTGATGTTGTTTTTCAGTAATGAAAGCTCCACCGTATTTTATCAGCTAGAGTTTTCTGTACCGCCAGCAGCAGAGGGGTTTATGGAAAACATGATGAACTCAGATTTTATAAGGAACGTTTTACGTCAAAATATTTATGATGAAGAAGATACTTTCACTCATGGGACATCTGAATGTGATAGGTTAAAGCTTGACCCGACTTCTCTCACGTTAACGTGTAAGTGCTGTACCTTAGAGAAACTGTTTCTTTACAAAGAGCAGAAGTATTTTCTTGGAAGGAGGGAAATCCTTCTGGCAAGATGTTGAGGTTTGTTAGTAAATATATTTTGCACAGCAGTATTAAGAAAATTGTAAAATATTCAGTTTTCAAGAAAGTCTTGCTATGCTTAGCATATAACCTGGGATTCACTGTTTGGTCCTCTGATGAGAAAGGGAGTAGTGATGAGACTGGTTAGCTGCAGACTCCAACCAAAGAGGTTTCAGATCACCTCTTGCATTCTATTTGTACAAAGAAAATCTTCTTGTGTGTGTGTACCATAACAGGGAGCCAAATAATGAAATATGTTTCTCCTTATTGTATCTTCATATTTGAATGCATATAAAACAAATTTTAATCCAAGTAAAACAGGATAAGTGATTTGGGACTCAACATCTGATTTTTTCACAGTCAAGGATGAAAAAGACTCCTAATTTTTGTCTTTTCAGAGTTTTTTGGGAAAATTTATTATGCACAGAGATGTCTTTTAAAGGAACCAAATATTCTCTCTTCCAGGTTTTCTAGGTAGTGATTCCAATGACTGCCAGTGACTAGGTAGTGATTCCAATGTATTTAGATTTGTCTTGATTGAAACGTCAGCATAAAAATCCTATGAGCTTTGCGGTTTTACTAAAAACATTGAATAGAGCTGCTTACCCCCACTCCCTATGTGCTTTCAGAGTAATTCTAGGCTAACACATCACCATACAGTCTATATAAGTAAAATGTGCAATTAACTCATATTGATTTCTCTTGGTAGTCTTGTCAAGGGACGAGACAGCAACAAGTCATGAGTTCCAATTCTCAGTATGATTTTGTTCCTTATATATTGACAGGATTAATAGAAAATGCAGTGTAAAAGGTACAGGAAAGAATATGCTGAAACACCTAAAGTTTCATTTTAATCTTAATTATGTACTGTTTTACCTTTCAGAGAAATGATGAAAAGACTCCTCATCTTCCTCACTGCCTAGAAGAGATGGGCTTCTCCTGTCTGTTAGTAATCCCAGGGTAGGGAGCTATTCGTTAGGTAGAAACACTTCTACAGGTGATGCCCTGTAAATACTGTCTGTGATACAGTATCATAAATGGAAAATGTGGTATATCTAAACAGTGTTATTCCTATAACACCGCTACCTCCTTCTTTATTGTTGTCCTGATATCTCAAAAACCCATTTTACTCTTCTGAAAATCATGCATCTTGTCTGATGCATGCTCTATTGACTTTGAAACCTCTGCTTTGTCTTGCCTTGTGATTGAATCTGGATCCCTTGCATGGCCTTTAAAAGCAGTCTTGCACATGGCTCCTTTTTTCTTCTCTTGTCTCATTCAAAATTATCTGCACAGCTTCATCCTTAATGGTCACTTCCACCCATGCTCATGACTGTTAGTTTTTTTTCCCTGCTAACTTCATATGCCACGTTTCCCTGTTGTTCTTTCTTCATAAAACAGTCTGAAAACTTAAATATTCTGTCTATTTTCTTTAATTACATGCAAGACCTTTGCACTAGCTTCTACAGTGAGCTTCAGCTCTCATCATTCCCTTGTTCATCCTACAGTCTTCCTGCTCTATTTTTCTCTTCTGTAATGTGAAATAGAAATGAAGAAACATCAGGAAGAAACATGTCTTGTTCACTAATGCATCTGAATACAACAGTAATCTTTCAATGGTCAAAATTAGCCATGTGCTTTAATAATTAGCTACTGGTACTAGTGAACAGACAGCTATTTGACCTGCATTTGTAAATTCAGAGAGGAACTAGTCTATATTCTTAATTATAGCCCCTGTCCCAGCAGTGGGGATAAAAACAAACAAATGCAAGATATTTGCCTTAATAAGGCAGCAAGTAGTTGTTTTTATTGACAAGAGATCAGATGAGATGGACCAGTGCTAAGAAGAAGGTGCTGAAGCAGACCGTATAGTCCAGCATGGCATGAGAGTTATAGCCAGTAACTGGCTATAATATGAAAATGAAAAATTAAGCATTATCTTTACACGTAATGGAATGGATTCACTACCGTGTTAGTGAAGTATAGCTTGTCATTTTTTGTAGCCAGTATAAATGTTAGTACTGTTGGATAGAGAAATTTATTTTACACAACCTTTTGTATTGTGAAAAATACCTTATGGGAAATTGTGTTTCTCTTTTTCTAATGTTATTAGTTTATTTAAGAAGTAATCTGACAATTTTACTGTGCATTAAATTATTTATTGTTAGTCTTAAAGTGATTGCTTTCATTCTTTAGCAGCTCCAGTCTTTCAGCTGTTTGAGTTGGAAAATAACCATCGGAATTCTAAATGCTGAGAGTTTATGAAGTGTCTGTCTGACAGAGCCATACACTCAAAACCGTATTTGTAGTTGCTTGAGTTTTAATGGAGCTTGGGAAACAGCCTGGACCAAATTAATGGTTCACATAGCTCTCATATTTGTGGCTAATTCTGACCCCATCTTGATTTGTAAGATGTAGTGTTGGCTGTAAGAGCCATAATTTCTCCTGATGCAATGTTCTATGCAGCATACAACTACAGCAGATATTCCTTCGGAGTCTTACATTGGGGAAGGATAAAATTCGTGGTTTGTGCGGTTTGTCCCAAAAGCAGCAGGCTATGAAAATACCAGCAGTGAAGAAATAATTTGCCTTTGAGATGCTGCTTGATTTTACTGCTCTTACTAAGACGACTGAACCTGCCCTTGAACACTTATCTTGATTCTGTTTCTAAGAACTGAAAAATAATATACTGATTATGCTTCTTTATGGTGACACCCCTATGTGCATAAGGAGTTGACAAAAAAAAGGAGCCAAGCACCCATTTTTTTCCAGCCATCCTCCTCTGCCCTAGTACCTTTACCTCAGCAATTCACAGGAAAGGAGGTGGTGGAGTTGTAGCAAGATGTTGTGATATTCAACAGAAAATGTCTGACTTTACAGTCCACCTCCGGCCAAGCTTTGAACTCTCATTGAAGAGAATATCAAAAACTGACAAAAAGTGGTTTCTAGTTTTGTATCTTTGAGGTAAATTGATCAAGTAAAAGAAAATAACCAAGTACATTAATTATGACTTCTTCTATTAGGGATAGAGCAGTGAGCAAACACATTATTTCATCAGGTTAGATATTTTGTGGAAATGCTTAAGGTTAATTTTAATAGAAGGAGTGTAGCTAATACTTTAATGACTGAGGCAACTTGAGATAGTGTTAAAAAGGAAGAGAAAAGATAATTCTGGTAATTCAGCTTGTGGAGTGTACAACCAGCCCTTTAAAATCCCACGGCAGGCAGTTATCTGTGTCGCCACAGCAGCCAGTACAAATTTTGGGCTGATCCAGCTGCCTGTCAGTGCAGCGGTACCTGCAGAGCGCTGCCTGCACCGTGCTGCATGCAAGCATTCACCTGTGGGACTGCCCCAGGCACCGAAACTGTGGGTGGGAATCGCGAAGGCTCTACACCGTGAAGCCAGGGCTGCAGCCAGCCATCACATACAAAGGAATATTTAAAAGCAGGAAAACTGTTCGATGTTTTCTTCAAAATTGTTTTATTACAAAAATGGAGGGAGCAGAAAAACACGCTTAGGTAAGAACACAGGCACATAATCACCTTATGAGCTCTGGTGAACAGTTGTGTAACTGGTTTCAGTCCTATGCACGTGCCCGGAGATGCTGCCTGCAGAGGGGTGATGGGCTATGGGGGGGTTCTGTCCTGGCATTGCAGAGTCGAACCTGACACTCCTGCAGGAGTGAGCTGGAAGCGCTGCGTCATGAAGGAAACACCTGGGAATCTGCTGAGAGGTGTGTAGTTACTGCCTGTGCAGCATTGGTTTTCATAGTCTTCTAAATGGCTGGAATTTTTGTTTGGCATGCAGTTTGTTGCTTTTTAAATTTTTTCTTTAACTTAAAATTTTTATTTAATTCCAACTTCATTAAGACTTCACTCTAAGATAAGTAGTACTACATTAAAGGGTGGGGCAGGGGCAGTTTGAGAAATGAGTTATTTATCTGTTTAGCCTGGAGAAGAGAAGACTGGGAGGAGATCTCATCAATTCTTATAAATATCGAAAGGATGGATGTCAAGGTGACTCTTTTCAATGGTGCCCAGCAACAGGACAAGAGGGCACGAACTGGAACACAGGAAGTTACGTCTGAACGTGGGGAAAAACTTTTTCACTGTGAGGGTGACCGAGCACTGGAACAGGCTGCCCAGAGAGGTTGTGGAGTCTCCTTCTCTGGAGATATTCAAAACCCACCTGGACACCATCCTGTGCAACCTGCTGTAGGTGATCCTGCTCGAGCCAGAGGGGTTGGACTAGATGATCTCCAGAGGCCCCTTCCAACACCTACCATTCTGTGATCTACATTGTATAATGGTATATATCAAGCAGGCCAGAGAAACTTTGGAAAAGAGTAAGTCCATCTAACACAGGGTCTATGCTTTCATTTAAAAAACAATCCCCTCCAAACAAACAAAAAACCCAACAACAGGGGGTGTTGTTGTTACTGCATTTTTGAGATTTCTATCAGTAGTTCTATAAGACCATTCTTTAAAAATAGGTCCTGTAAAAGTCCAGAAAAAAGTGCAGCCTCAGTTGCTTCTAGTAATGAAGCACCCGATTTTCTATAGAGAAAGATTGTCTTACAATGGCAGTTGCTCCTGATTCCTCTAGTTTAATTGTCAAGTCCTGTACTCTATCCACATCTCATTCTCTGATCATGTTTTCATTGACAGATTTGTCTCATTGGTAATGACTGGCAGATGTGTCCTAATGAGTAAGCTTGGTAACAAGAGACAGGTGTTTGTTTGAAGACCTGACACCAGAGGTAGGATGGTTAGCAAGGCTGCATACTGCTGGCTTAAACATTCAAGTAAAAGAGTGTCCCTTTCTAAGTCATCAAGACATAATCATAGTCACTGTGCTCTTCAGCGCTGGCAATATTTTCCTTCCTCTTGGGCACGTTGACAAGTGCATATTCTGTCTGATTATTGCTGTTAATCACAGACGTTTTACGTTTTACATCGTGGTTAACAGTAGAGTACCACAGTTCTCTAGAATTCATGGA